GATGCAACACCACTTAAATACAAAAGAAGCTTCAAAATGAAATAAAATAATAATGGAAAAACTCGATCATAACAAAGTCTTTCAAGTTTCAACTAATTTCAAAAAATTGCCAAATAAAATATTCACCAACACTATTTTCTGAAGGTAGCAAACTTTGGCTCACAAGTCTTGCACACTCAAACCGGAAAATGCAATGGATTTAATATTTGAATCACCCCGCACAATATATAAATCTGAAGAAATAATAACATTCAAAAACCAATACTAATCAAATTTTAGCCAGTTACAAAGTTAATTTACAATTCACACATTAATCAAATTCTTTTAGAAACTCGAAAGGTACTTACAAGTTAAACTACTGACACAAATAACTAGAAATGTAACATCTTCATCATCTGCCATTCAAACTTTGTGTCTAATCGATTTCTAGCATTTTTTATTTTAATGATACAAGATATCCAAAGGTTGCATCTATTAAGAAATGATAATCTACGCACACCTCCCTTTTTCTATAAAAATCAATACATGCAACATCAAATAATTACTGTTTTCCTTGATCAGTCAATTTAGTTATTAGAGGAAACTAAAATTTAAACTAATCCCTCTACCAATAATTCTAACCAAAGACGGACAGCCGACGTTGGAACCAAAGAGCCAGCCTCCTACACATTTTAGCCATTGAGAGCCAGTGTATTGGCTGTTTGATTCACAAAAGGGATGCTTGAGTACACTATGTACAGGTTTTGTATACCATTTCAAGTAATATAATATCATTTTAATTTTTAACTTAGCATCAAATTTGAACAGGTTTAGTTTAGAAGCAAGAACCTGGAGGAAGATATTGCTTCAATTTGTCGGCCTTCTCGGGATCAAAGTCACAGAGGGTGTAGAGGTACTTTACCCCATTCATGCATTGGTTGGCAAATTGTGGCAATTGGGACTTCCCTTTGAAGTCTCCAAATACAGATCCTACGATTCTTCTGCCATCGAACAACTCCATTGGATGCAGAGGAAGCATCCTCGGTGTTGGGTGAATCCCTGAAACTACTGTCAATCCCCAACCCTGTAACAAACATTAAAATCCTTAAAATTAATGCTACGTCATTACTGATCGAATAAGTACCATTTATAATATTCTTATTTTTATAAGCTCATATTAAAAAATAATCATTTAATGGGACATGAATTATTGAGTTGGATGCGGTGAACTCCATGTGCACTATGCACTACAATCCTTTTTTTTTTATATTGTCCTCAATCCCAAGCAATCAAGAAATTTGACCAACTTATTATTAAATTAAAATTTTATACATTAAAAAGATAATAATAAATTATAACCCCTGTTTGGCGGGTATGAAAATAATTTTTTTAGTAGATTTTGATAAAAATTAACCAAACGTATAGTTGAAAAGTTGTGAATCTGATAAAATATATAATTAAAATTAATTGTTGAAAATAACTTATAGATAGTAACAACTTTTGTTACAAATAAATAAATTAAATGGAGAAACTTACATCATGGGTGGATAAAAAGGCCTCCCGAAGTACATCCAAATTTCCAGCACACTCAAAGCTATAGTGCACACCTCCATTAGTCAATTCCCTAATTTTCTGCATAACATTAACATAGAACGTTGACGAAGATAAGATAATTGCCACAACTATGACAGTGATACCTAAAAACAGAGAATAGTAGTGACAAACAACGGGATTTGAGGGGAGGCAGAGCGATGTGGTATCTCCATTCCAGGAATTGACTTAGACCGAGGGTCAGTTGAGTTCTTACCTCGGCCATATAGAGGGACTAACTTCTCCTCTTCAATAAGAGCCTTACAGACCTGACATTCCCGGGATCGAGAGTGAATGTGAAGCCATTTGTAAAGGCAAGGCCAGCAAAAGAGGTGACCGCAGAGTGTGACAATAGGGTCTTGAGCTAAATCAAAGCAAATATTGCACTCAAAATTCCCGGCATCACAGTTGTTATTGTTATTGCTAGAGCTTGTTGATTCCCCTAACTCACTCTCCATCTTTCAACCTCAAAATACTCAAATATCCTATGAAAATGTAAAATGTAAATAAGAAAAAAAAAAATTACAAAAACCACAGATATCCTAAAAAAGATTACACTTTTATGCAGTTTAAACACCGACTTCAACACATCCTATCCACAAATGACATTACTCTGACAAACAGAAATATTAAATCTCAATCGTAAAATAACATATTCTAGAAACAAGATACTATTTTCTTAAGAAGGCAAATCAATATTGTGTCTAATTCAACACCATAATTCAAAGAAGGGCTTTAAATCTGAGCCCGCCGTAAAGAATTAGGGATTTGTAATAAAAAATCGGAGTATATTATCATTAACGGAATTCAGTAGAAACACGGTGGGATCTGGCATAATCAAGAATATTAAGCATGTCAAAACAAAATTATATACGCAAAGTAAGAAAAAATTACAGAGATGCGAAGAGAGAGGATTGACCTTTTGGAATCTCCATTCCACATAAATAGCAGGCGATCTCTCCACTCTCACCAACGGGATTTGAGGGGAGGGAGAGCAATTTGGGCGAGAGAGTAGGCTGTAATAAAAAACAACTGGAAAATCGAACCCAAACCCCAATTTCGAAATTGGCGGTTTGGTGCCACGTGGACCGTCAACGAAATGGTTTTGAACCAAAACCGATTTGATTTGGATTTGAAAATTTTAATTATGGTTTGAAA